TTGAAATAGAAGTCGCAAAATCTTAATGACTATTTTTTTCACCAACTTTATTGGGCCAATACATAGTATAGGAAAAAAAGAGGTACAATTTACTAATTTCCTAATATAAAAGAAAAATATATACCTTGTATAACCTATGTTGGTGCTAGAGGAACCCTTGAGGTAAATGTTGTAAAGGGCTGCCAACTATTTGTTAAACCTCGTAACGGAAAAATCAAATTTTCAGCCATAAATGTTAATTTTACATTTGCAATATCTGATATTTGAAAAATTAAGTACATGTGCAAGTACAAGTATAGCTCATTAGTAGCGGCAACCTGTCTGTAAACAGCATATCTATCAGGATTTTCAGAATGAAAAAAATCATACTTCAGCATTAGAGACTTGAGAAACTCTTAAAATTTTGTACTTATTTTGCTTAAGGTTACAATAAAAAAAAACGTATCAATCTCATAGGGTTTTCAATACTCTTACCATTGGAGTAATCAAATTTCAGTAGGATTAACATTTTATACGATACTTCGTAATTTATGGAATAAAGCTGTGAAAGTAACCTGAAAAGTGAAACATCTCGAATAAGACTGTAAATGTGACTTTGCGAAATAGGGAATTTATTTTAGTCCAATTTGACATGTAGGATGACGTCCTGAAATGGATGGACTCTCTTCTTCGCTTAAGATTCTCTTACTTATTGACTGGGCTCTTGATACAAGTCTCTCTGCCGTATCAACGCTACAATTTCTTTTTATAGCATTTTTAGAGTTAGAGTACCTTATACATATATATGCTGTCGACTCTGTTGTACGATATAACAAATGATCTAAGCTTTCCTGCTTAGAGGTGTTTTATTTTTCTCGCGGCTCATACCACTATATAACGCCAAGGAACGACACCCTTCAAATAAAACATCGAGCAACCTTTCTCTGTATGCCGGATTTTGCCCGAAAGTGTGTTCGTACGTCAGCCTCGTGTGGCCTACCCTTAGTTTGATGATACACTCTCTTCTTCGCTTAATATTCTCCAACCTATTGACTGTGCTCTTGATACAATCTTCTCTGCCCACTCGGCTCTACCAACGCTGTCATTTCCTTCGAATATCTTCTCATACACAAATATACATGCTGTCGACTTTGTTGTACAATATGACGAACTTTCAAATTTTCCTGTTTATGAGTTATTGTGGTCAATGAAAAATCCAAAGGTCGACGCACTACTTTCTTTTATATACTTGTTGGAATGATTGAATTTCAGGCTTTGATATATAGTAAAAATTTGTGAAAATCAATACAATAGTCAGTTCGTACATGACCCGGATTTATTATAGGATTAAAGAAAAGTGACCGAAGATAGCGCCTGAAGGTTGTTAATCACACGCTCAGGTGTTTTTGCCAACACTGCAAACTCTCTATCGCCTTTCAATTTCTACTCTTTTAATATAATTTTTTTACCTCTATAAATTTCTGACCCTTATAAATATAAACTTCCAAGGAGTTGATAATTAATCCGATCTCCAGCAAAAGAAGAAATTCGAACAATGGGCAATAATGTGCCTCAGAGGCTCTTCTAAGCAATACCTTGTTTACTGGAAGCAGCAGAAGCTACGAAATTAGCTCATCTCGCAACTAAGGAAGAAATAGCAATGCTGCTAAAGGAAATAAAATTCATTAACGTGGAAAATGCCTCAAGGAATGAACTACCCCAAAAGCCCACGAACTAGGAGTTTTTTTATGGGATGCCTTTTCTAGCTGCATTCTTCATCTTGGGTCCTTGTCTGCTACTAAAGACGAGAAACTAGCTTTTCTCTCTGGCAAATGTCCAACATTTGTTCCACATGCTCGTCATCTTTGGGAAGTACGTATTGAAATGTGTGGTGGTTAGTGACCGTTAATCGATAATCATTCAGAAATCGTGAAATGCAGCCTGATGTGATGTAGGTTTCAGAAAAACATTTTCTTTATCGTGCCAACGTTCGATTTTTATTGAGATCATCTTCAGGGCTCAAAGTGTTTGTCTTCTGTGTAATTGTGCCATTCTTGCGTGTCGTGTTGAGAGTGCGCGGGGCACAATTACACATAAGACAAAAACTTTGAGCCCTGAAGATGATTTCAATAAAGATCGAAACATAGGCACGGTTAAGAAAATGTTTTGCTGAAACCTAAATCACACCAGGCCGCATCTCACGAATACTGAATAATTTTGGGAAGTACCATGAGTGCACATTTTTTCAAGTTTTTCTCCTAGAATGATGTTTAACTTACTCCAACTGTAACTACTTTTTATTTCTATTAAATAAATCTTAATTTTCATAAATTACAATTACTTTGTCATTGAAAATCTGCTATTTTCGCTATTTGTAATAAAGATTTTGTTTTTATACAATAATAATGATTCATCAAAAAACCTATTCTAAAAATCGAATAAGGCACTGAAAGGAAGACTTTCAAATTGAAATGGGTACCCAGTGGTTGTAAATTAATCGGACGCGCCTGGAGCGATTCGTATCCGATTAGCAGATGTCAGCCCAAATCTCGAAGCTCGCGTGCTGCAGCAATTTACCATTGAATGCTAATTCGATCCGAAAGACGTCTTCATTCATTCCTTCCATGCCTTCTACACTGGACGCCCTTTGATGCCATCTACGTTGCGCCACGTACGGTGAGACCTCATGGTTTGCATTTTCGGTGTTGAACGCTCGTTAGCATACCGTTGTCTAATGGCCATCGGACGTGGCGAGAATAGCGAACAAAAAGCAACTGCAAACCAACGTCCAATAGATTATCATCCTAGATACACAAAAAATTATGAGTAAAAGATTGATTTATTGACTGAGCCGTTATCTCACCAAAACAAATTTTTCTTCTGCCGGAGGCTACAATAGAACCAATCACTTATTCCCACACTCGGATTTTTCTTATCATAATGGTCGGAAAGCAGTAGAAAAACGTAAACCGAGTCTACGGAAAAAAAGTTTCTCCCCATTGATAGATAAGGTCGGTCGACTGGCTTATCGCAGCAGCCGTTATAAGCATCTGTTCAACATAACCAAACCTCGAGAGAGATGTATGCAATTTTTGATGTGGTCTCACGTGAAATGAGCCATTTATTCGGCAGAACTTTTGTAAAAATATTTGTAGTTAAAGTTTTGCATTGCAAGGCCAGAGCCTTTCTTGAGTGAGTTCTTCGAAATTTCATTCATTCATTTTTGGCGCTGTTTTCCCATAGTAATGTGTAAACAAGACCCACTCGGAAGTAACGATTAATTTGATGAAAAGATCAGTTGAGCTATTCAGAAACAACATGACTTGTGACTGAGACAGCAGTTTACGAAATATTTCTGAACCTTTTGAGCTCATTACATTACTATTCAATTTTTTCTTCTAATTCCCGTTGCAAATTAAATTTCACTTCACAGAGTTCAGGTACTGATAATATTCTTGTCCTAATGGACATTTTCGTTATTTTTGTACATCTGTTCACTCCGTTTTATATAGGGTTTTTTTAATCTTTCTTTTTTAAAGCTCAAATTTGTACATGCGTGAACATATACACTGTAGAAATCCGTTTATCCAGACTTGAAAGGACCGGGACTTGTCCAGATAATCCAAAAATTGTGATTTTATTAGTATCGTCATAAAAACGGGAAAAAATACATATAAGAGTGAACACTTTTATTCATATATTAAGTTACATTTAAAGTAATAGATAGTTTTTATTAGTTTTATTTTTGTTTAAGTCTGTACACACGTTTCTCAAAAAATGTATATGTAAAAAGTACCTATTAAAAATATATATAATAAAAAAACCTTTTCAATGGAAGCCAACATACGAACAAAATTTCTAGTCTTTTAAAATAGAATACGCCTTTTTTAAATTTTTTTTTTATTTCGATTTACTTTGAATGTGTGACTAGTGGAAGGGTCTTGATTTGGTGGCCTTTACGAATTTCGAACGACGAATTAAAAGTCCCATAGTTGAATTATTTAATTTTAAAAAATTAATACACATGCATTGAGAAATATGAAAAATTTATAAAAAATATTTTAACAACTAGGTCCGGATAATCAGAGTTCGGATAAACGGGTTTCCACTGTATAAAAGTGTACAGAGTTGATCCTACCTCTATCTTTGCACTTTACAATGAATTACGGGCAGGCCATCCCTAACCATCCTTAAATCACCCACCCTTAGTGTAAGCAGTCCAGAGTCAGACCTCGGTCTTATCCATTGAGCCACGGAGGATGGACCCCAAGTGCTACCAACAGCTAGGACAGTTTAGTCCCAAGCAATTCAGTTCCTAAAGCCAAATCCATTCACTCTTAAATACATTCTTTCCCAATTACATACCATTCACTCACATAGGCTTTGGCTCAAAATTAAGCAAACGTCGCATGTCTTACCCTATGAGCCATCAACAGTGCCCTTGATGCATGAGCAATTTCTCTCCTGATTTGGCCCACCTACATTGCCACTTTCTTTTCATCATTGTGTTTTTTAATGCATTTTTAGCATCAGGAGCTGGATTATTATTATTATTATTATCAAATATTCAATTGTCGCAATAATTAAGATGGTAAGCCCAATTACTGCAAAGAAAAAAACCGCACCTGGATTCTAGGAGAATTGGAAATGTCGCATGGTGATGAAGCTCTAGGAGAAAGCACTATGATTTGCTCGTTTCAGAAGCAGAAATGTTAATTTGTAAGACGCAAAGCGCTCTGATCATCCTTCGTTCATGGCCAAATTCAAGCTTAGGTCACAAATAAAACATCACAGATACCCTTAATGTAGATAGAATATGTTGTCTATTAGAGCAATGAATTCCTCACATGTTTTTGGACCACATCTCCGTTTGTGATTCCCTCCTACAATGTAATGCAACAACTCATCTTTAAAAATATTGATAACTGGGGATGAAAAGTGGATCTTTTACAACACTGCTCAAACAAAAAAAAAAGAAAAACTGACAAATAATAATTTTTTATTGATAAACTTTAAATAACATTGTATCACAATTTATAAGTTTTAAGAACATTACTTGTACCACCTAATTGGATACTTTTTTTTTTACATTCTTAATTTGGAACAACAACAGCTACCTGAAAAACAAATTTTAGTTAAAATTATAAATAATAAATAGTGTATTATTACCAATGCTAACTTTATTGATAACCATGGTTCTCTTTTAAAGTTGACTATTTTCAGCTAAAAGCAAAACATAAAATCCAATTAATTAATAACAGAATTTTTATTATAATTGGTTAATAAATAATTACATTTATAATTGATGGTAGACTCTTTAAACCTGGCCAAAAACCCAAAATTCAAAAGCCTATCAGCACATTCCATCTTCAACGCTTTTTCAGCTTCGATTTTTGCAAACTTTAATCGCCTTTTGTACAAGCAATTGTTGTTACGCGATAATGGCTGTTGAAGCAGTAATTAATTTAACTGAAAACTGAGATGTAAAAAAAATAACTTTTTAAAATAACTTACAAAACACAACATGAAAGTTTCAATGTAGGGTCTTATTGAGTCGAGATCGACCCATGCGTTGGTACACTTCTTACGAGAGTCGAAGAATACAACATGGTAGAAACTCTGTAAGTATAAAATTAAATCAAAATAAATTTGGATTGATAAATGTAAAAAAATAACGATAATAAAAAACCAGGGTTTAACAAAAATACAATCCTTTAATGCAAAGATTTCACTATAACACTGATGGACAAATTTAACGCACCACTCAATTTATTTATTTTTTTTAAAATTAAGTCCATTATCTTTCTATATTAGTTACAGGTAATTAGGAGCTATTGAAGTCAAAATAAACAGTAAATAATGCTTTGTTTACTTCCTTTATATATTCTTGTACTGATTGCACAAAAAGTAGCATTATGCCCTTCCATTCTGCTACGCAAAAAGAAAGCTTTCAGTTACTGTAACTACACAAATAGAGGTTTGGCCAGTCAGACAGCTTTACGCCTATCGGCGCACTCACTCCCTTACTTTTCTTTCCGATGTGGTGTCGGCTCTTATTGCTCGATTCTCTTTTACTTCGGGGTTTAGGGGCACTGGATTTGCCAGCCATATAATACCATTATAATCTAACTCCCTACTGTTTTTTTTTAATCTTTTTTTTAAGTTAAGTTTAAGCATATATATATACTTTTATTTTAACAGTATAAATTTTATTAGAACACTGAAAAGGTAAAAAAAAATTTTAAACTCAACAATCTTGAATTTTTGTAAAAATTTTATTCTTGTTTATTTACGTTTTTGTACCATTGCTTCTATATGCATTATTACTTTTTTAAATCATGCATCGAAAATGTTGCGAGATGGCAGAACCACAACCAAGTCCCGGGAGTGTGAACCCAGAAAAATGGAAGGCATAGCGAGACAACTATATTTTTATCATTTTTGAAGCTTGATTTACAATTGAATAGAAATAACAGGGAATAAATTTTGTTTTTGTCTGGTTTTTACACTGAAGAATCTTCTTTACTGAATACCAAAAAATCAAAACAAGCTTAATCAAATCAACCTAATTAGTTGCTTTCGGGAAGATCACAAATATAACTAGTCATGTTTCCAAAACGAGTTCAATATTGCTATGTTTTTAACATAAGTTAGTTATTTGTGTACACTTAATAACTGTATTTAGTTTTAGTATCTAGAATAATTTTATATTTGTATTTTTGCATAATTATAGTTTTACTTGTATCAATGTTTCTTTTGTTAATGTATAATTTTAGTTTGTTAGACAAATTTGCAGATTTGGGCAAAACTTTAGAATTATATGGGTGATTTGTATTTTTTAAACAATGTTTAAAACGTTATGTGTGTATAATGTTATTTGTTTTTATTAATATACACTTTATATAAAACTACAAAAAATTTGTCAATTTTATTGTTTGTGCAAATATAAAAATGTGTTGCAGTTCCTAATAGATGTATTTGTAAAATACGTAATAGGTCCTTTCGCTTCAGTAACATCTATTCCTTACAATAATAAATAATAAAAAAAAAATAGATTAACTTTTCGAAAACAGCTATCTGGGACTACACTGGGATGGGATCTACATCAAATAAAGTAGGTAGAGACAGCCTTACAGCCTTCACAAATTAGCTAAAAGGTCAAAAGAGAGAATAAGAAGGGTCCTGGTCCTGCAAAGGTCAAAAATGGCCCCAATGGTTCAAGTCAGGCATTTGAGTGAGCATGACAGCGTCAGGGTCTTAAAATTACTATATTAAAAATACAGCCTGCAAGAAGTCGCCAGGAGACCACAGAGGGCCTTGTGAAACAGGGCTTCACACTAGAAGGCAAGGACAGGGTCAACCTAGGCCATCCGTCATCAGGCACAAACCACAGCATTACAGGAAATGAGATAAGAAATCTGATAAAACAAGTCTGAAATGTTTTGATTTCCAGGACTGTAAGAAGAAGGAACAATGAAAATAACCACAGGGCCTGGCACCCGGGCCTCTTCTTACCACAGATCAAAAAACGACCAGGCTTCAATTCACCCGGGAACATGTGAATAGAACACTGGAAGATTGGGGATGAGTTCTCTTTACATATGAGGTAAGAAGTTGGCCTCAAATATTCAGACTGGAGTACTTCGTGAGACACTCAGGAAAGGTACACCCCATACTGAATGGTTCCTCAGGTGGCATTCCATGATGGTCGTTGATGATCTGGGGGGCATTTCCTTGGACGCCCGCATAGAATTTGTTGCTGAGAGGGAAGACTATTATTTACATTATTTGTATAACATTTAGCCTAATCAATAAGCTAAATAAACATAGACCTGATTATTATTGGTAACAATGTGTGGTGATTAGTGACCGTTAATCGATTTCTAAATAAATATTGGTAACAATTGTAAATAAATTGGTAATGAAAAGTAATAGTAAGTTCCGCCACATCCATTGCTTAATTTATTATGCACATTGCAAAATGTATTCTAAAATTTGACCAAATAAATTCTTTATCTAGCTGGATAAAAACTTGTTTATGACCTGGAGACAGAGAAAAAGGCTGAAAAATATTTTTGTTTGATAAAGGCAGACATGATTATAAGACTGCATGCAAGCTGGGATAAGGGATGTTACAAACTAGATAAAACTGATTTTCCAAGAGAGCCGGGACAGCTGGGAACTATGATGGGAGTTCTTTAACAGAAAGAACCAGTCAAAAAAGCTCTTGCCACTATATCAGCATAAATCCTACTGAAACCGATAACAACATAATTCCAAGTCTAATGGGACTCTTCATTGGTCTAAAAGTTGGAAATTCTGTGTATCATATCTAGGGACAATGAATTAATCTGTATGATATGGACGTGAATGCCATTAATCGAGGCACCATTGTTAAAACAGTTTTTGTATATTACATACATTCTAGACTGCATGCACACGCACACAGATATATTGCTTTGCCAAAGACATACTCACTACTTCATTGGAAGTTTCTTTTAACCAATAAAATTGTTCACATTCGGGGTTGTCATCAACGATAGCCGGCCACCAAGGAAAGCCTTTTACTTTGGCTAACACAACAGAGCCAGGACTGTAGTCAGCATCGATGAGATCTTTTGGGTCAAAACTGGCCGCCTGAGGAATGCTACATTTGTTGAAATCAAAATCTGAAATTTTTACAAATTAACTTTTTTGTAATAAAAACGTAATTTAATGATACTTACCAGAGTTCATCGAACAAACCCAAAACGGCTTGATTTCCAATGCATCTTTCACTCTGTACAAATATCTCCATTTGCTGCAATCAGAACACTGAACCTGTTGATTGCAATAATTATTATTTAATAATTTAAAATATTTAAACTTAATTATTTAAATAATTAATAGAATTGAGAAAATTGACATAATTATGTTTAGCGGTCATAATTGACCACATTAATTATTTTAATTAATTATTCTTTTCACCTCAACCAAGACCTTAGATGAAAAGAATAATTAATTGAATTTGTTATTTTATGTTTTATTTACCCAAATCCCTGTGTCTCGATTTTCTTGCAGCCAGAGCAGCCGGTCCCTCGGGCTGAGGCCAACTGGAAAGCGCTTTTTATGAAATTGTTCCAAATCCTTCGACAGCTGCCTTACTTGCGCACCAAAACCATAAATAAGCGATTTCTGTTTGATAGCAACTTTGTCTGGAAGGAGACGCCTAGTTTTAACTCCTTTGAACTTTTTCTGCATCGGTTTTCTTTTATCAAAGGCAAGCATATTATCAGTTTCTTCACTTGCAGAATGATCAGAATCCGAACTTTCCTTTAATTAAATGCACAATTAAAAATCTATATTAGCTCTTGGACTTTAAGAAATATTTATAAAATGGCAATTTCACCTCAGGCATGTAAGAAGATAAATTACTGCCCGACAATATTTCTTTCCCTTCATTAGTAGTCGATGCATTTTTTCCATTTGCATATAATAAATCCTTTTGGGGCCCATTTTCTTCTTTTAAAGTAGAAATTGATGAATTCTTAACTACCTGCATGAAAGTTCTCAAATTATGGCTGTCTTGTTTCAATTTGTTCAGCACACCCTGAAAAAAAAATTATTCACTTTAACCTTTAAAAACTCAGCGGAACTCAATAGAATAATGAAAATTCCATATGCCTATGGAAATTATAAGTTGTAAATCGATCTTGGAGAAGTCAGTTTCAAAAAGCCTTTGGAAAGCTTAAAAAACGTAATTTAAAGTCTGGTAGAAATTATTTAATATTTTGGTTGGCAAACAAATTTAATTGTAAAAGAATAAAGGTTCCAATACAATTTTTTTTCAGTAAATTACAAAACGGGCAATTTATGAAAGTAAAACTCTTACTGTCCATATCCCAATTCAGGATGCAAACTTAATATTTTTTTAAATAAGCATTCTTACTTCTAAAAACTGGCCTGGTCACAAAAAGAGAGTGCAATAGTAACCAGGCTTAGGGCTAAGGCATTTGTCATTACATATAATAAAACAGAAAGGGATCTTTTATAAGAAACATTCACTTTATTGAGGACTTGGACCACAATCCCTTGCTCTAGATATAGGGAGAGAAAAATTTTGTTGGACATTACATAAGCAATGAAGAGTATAGTTACACGATGCTTGCTATTTTTATTATTATTATATTATTATTAATGCCTGTTTTTGTGTATCAATTGTTTAGGATAGAAAGAGAAATCTGAGGTCATGCGGTGGGGTGTGGTATTGGGTGGGTGTTCTATGAGTGGTCAAGTTGGTTGCTGCTGTCTTTTGGGTGAGAGGCATCAGGTTTCTTGAATACTGTGTGGTGTTATAATGATTATTTGGAGATCGTGAGATACGTCTGGTGTGACATAGGTTAAGAAAAACATTTTCTTTATCGTGCCGTTTCGATCTTTATTGAGATCATCTTCAGGGCCTGGGATTTATAAACATAGTTATAACTTATACAAATACATGTAGGATGAATGAATTGAGTCCTCATATAGAACGTTTAGAGAAGCCGACTCCTCATATAAAAATGTTTTTCTATCTCTACTTCCATCTCCATCCCTTCAAAATCCAACGTATATAAACATAAAACAGCAATATCTCACTGGCACTCTCAACATGACACACAATCATGCCATATCTACACAAAAAACAAACACTTTGAGTGAGTACAAATACTTCGACCGAATCTAAAATGTCTAGCATTGTATAAATTCATTTTTTCATATCCTACATGTATTGGTATAATTTGAACAATATTTATAAATCCCAGTCCCTGAAGATGATCTCAATAAACTAGACCGCATCTTAAGATCTCTAAATAATCATTTCCTGAGTACGTTTGGCCGAGAGGTCTTAGAGATCTGGACTTTTCCATAATTATTTTGATATATGTTTTTTATCCAATTTCCAAATCAAAATTCAAAATATGATTAAAAGGAAAATTAACAGGTTGGCAGTGCCCATGGTTGCCTGGTCGGGGCTGTTCTCTCAGCATGTCTATTTCTATGGATAATGTAGCAACACAAGGTCAAAAAATAAAATAAATAAACCTTCAAAAAAAAGTGTATAATGTATTAAATAAAAAACAAATCTGGCTATTTGACCTGAAACAATTTTTTCTGCCCATTTTTTTCATAAGTACATTTTTCAATGATGCGGACAGTGTGAGAGCGGTTTAAGTGCTCCTTAATCCTTTCCATATATGATTCAAAAGGAAGTTTCTCATTGTCCATAGACAATTCATAATCCACATTGACATATTTCTGTTTCCTTTTTACTCCAGTCCTTTCATCGTTGCATTCTTGAAAATCCTTATCGCTACATGTATCATCGGGATAATTGAAGTATTTACTGAATGTCTTTCGCTCTTTTTTTAAAATGGCATTCACTAGTTCCAAATGTTGAAGGGAGTGTGAATCATGCCTACTGGATAAAAACTGGTCTCTTGAACTGCCTGGTAAATTAATATCTAAATTATTTTCACCAATATCAAACTCAGAATGTTGATCTACAAAGGTAAAAGACCGTTAATACTTTAATTTAATTATAAAGCAACAAAAATTTTATTCTTACATTCTCTTATCCCAGGATAATATCTGCTCCGCTGAAAGAAATAAAAAATAAAATAAATAAAATTGACTTAAATATCAATAAAAACCTTCATAAAGCCAAAAATATAACTCAAGAATCAGGCAATTGATTCAACATATCTGACACATCTTAAATGCCAACGTAACATTTTTCTAATAAACTAATTTTCCAGATGTGAAAGAGAAGACAAACCCAATACGGCGAGAAAAAAAAAATCAAAGGCAGTACTCTCATGTTAGAGAGAAGAAAAAAGAAAATAATTTAGGTTTATTTTAACATTTAGAATCAAATTTAGTGTAATTTACTGTAAAATAAAATGTGTATTTTTAAATTTATTTTCATAAAAAATTGTATACAATATTAAATTGAATTTAGTTGACAGTTTATAAGCCATACAAAGAGCAAGGAGCACAATAGTCCTACATGATAGAAGTGGTGCACCTCACACTCAGACAGATCTAATCTACTCCATGATTAAATCACTTCCTGTGGTTTTGTGGCCTTTTGAAAGAGGTAATTTTGTCTCTTAAGTTTTATCTGCTTTAAATGGCTGAAATGTCTGTTCATTTGGATTCTAGTTTGTACAAGTTATCTCTAAGTGGCTGAGAGTGCCATTCTCGGACAGACCATAGGCTTATACTTCCAGCAGAAAAGAATTCCTAAAATTTGTTGAGACAGATGGTTCTGCTTACAACTGGTTTTGATCCGGATTTCAAGCAGAAAATGCTCATCATTAAATTATGCAAATTATCTACTATTTTCTGCCCAAAGTCCGGATTACTAAAACCAGTTTGTGAGTAAAAACGTTCTTTTTAGCTATGTAATTTATATGCTCATGACTTCAAAACTATTTTTTATGAATTCCTAAGTTACTAGTCTATTTCTTATTTAAAAATTGAGCAATTTTAGAACTTGTACAATTTTATGTCAATTGATGATTTAGTTTTAATTACAATCTTTTCATGTTTCTTCAGTGCTATGTTGCCTGTTGGCATTGTTTACATAAATGAAAAGGAAATATAGTAAACAGTGGAACATGTAAATGAATAAAAGACTTCATTTTGAACAAAGTAATTTTAAATTAATAAAAAAATTTTAAAAAGAAGTTTTTATGATTCCACTTGTTGATAACAATTGTTCCTCTTTTGTTAACAAATTTAAGTTGAACAAAATTTATCGTAAGAACCAACACCAATAGAGTAGGTACTGACTTTACAGTTGATCAACTAAAATCTGAACCAAAAAAACAGTAAATTCACCAGGTGCTACAATCAATCACCAAAGCTTATCAACATTTAACCAGGAAAACAAAAATCGACCTCTCTCGCTATAGGCAGGAACTAAGGAAAATAATACCATTGCCAATTTGACCACCGCAAAAATAAATAAAAAATTGAGAAAAAATGAAACAGAAACCTGCTGACTCTGTCAAGAAACAGACATCAGTTGTTTTTTTACCGCAAAGTATTAGTTTCGTTTGGCCTTTCATTGGCCTAGATTTGCTTAGTGTGTGTACGCCTTATCATGCATCCTGCAGAACACTTACAGCACATGATAAAAAGACAGGTTAGACATCGTTCACCGCCTCAAAGAGTTGAACCGCTCTTGTTGATGAATGTGATTCACAAGGCAAAATCCTATCACTTATTAACCCGATGCCTAGGAGAGACTTAAAGCCCTCTATAAAGGTAGAGGAGGTAACACACATTATTAAGAATAAAACTAGGTAATAAATTGTTAGTTAAATTTGGTTTAATTACATTGTAATTAATATAACGATTACAAAAAAATTGAAATAAGAAAATCCATGTGTCTTTCTGCAGAGAGTCATGATACAAGTCCTTCAGGAAAAGAAAATTAGTGTTTGTACATGGATAAATTAATCTGAATTCAATTTATTTATTTATTTTTTTACTTTCACTTAATGTACTTAATATTTTTTAGTAATGTTGAATCATATTTGCCCTGCCTATCCTCACTAGATTGGTCTGTTATATGCATTGGGGGATTGAGGCATTGGTGGCCATAACAGTTTAGGCGTTGACATGACGCTCATCATTGAATTTTTTGAGTTAAAGGCCCGGGTTCAAATCCGCCAACATACAAATGAGTTTTTTTAACCTCATAATTGAAATACCCTTGTTAAAAAAAAATTATATATATTTGAAAATAATTGAATTTTTGACAAAATAAAATTTCTTACACACATATAAACAAACTGATAAACAAGACGATATGGAAAACGAATTCAATAACTTTAGAACAGTCGATATGTAATAGTCTTCCATGTGAATTCGTAAAAGCTACGAAGTTATAATTGGTAAATTTAACATTAAGAAAGTCTTACTTTACTATGATTTTCACATATGGTTTTTTAATCTTTTTGTGTTCTTAGAAGTTGTTGAAACAACTGAAGATGGCTAGGCAAAGATCTTAGAACTCAAAATTTAATCGATTTTCCCCCAAGGCACAGGTGTATCCACATTAATTCTGTCTTAGAATCGAGGGTTGATTTCAAGACATACTGTCGAAAACAAAGCAAACAACTGGCAAATTTAGGCTCGCAGCTTTCCATCCACATGGAAATTTAAATATATACATTTGTTTTGAAAATTTGTTGTTTACACTTTTTTGTCGACAGCACAAATCGATAGACCTGCACAAAAGCTACATATACAACATACTGTTTTTTTGTTTTTTTTTTAATGTGTGTGTAGAGGACTGTTTTGAACAGAGGCCATAGGCTAGTCAAGTTAACAGTTAATTAACAGCCCAAACAGGTCAGGTACCCAAGCATAGGACAGTCAAACAACACAGCATAATAATATAACTATAAAAAAAAGGATATAAAAATAAATAATAAAGAAGGGCCAACACTTTTAACAATCAGGTCAACATTGTAAAAAGCTTGTTCTATATTGTTTTTTAAAAATCCATAGGGATGAGGAGAAGGGGGTCGTCACAGATACCGGATTTATGTTATGTACAGCTGTGGAGATTGAAAACTCTAACCCGTATTTGGTCCTGTGCTGTGAAGTACAAAATAATTCATGGGTCCGTAGTTAACGCTTATCCTAAATCCAATAAGAGAAGGCCTACTAGAGCAAGCCTGGCCTCATCGGGGCAATGATGGTACTTCCTGGGATTATAAATTTCTTGTAAAACAGGTTTTTTGTGGTCTTTCTCTGTATGCTTTCTATCATATGAGACCCATCTAATGAACCCGATGACCAAACAACACTGGTATACTCTAGATGACTGTGCACCAGTGATTGGTAAAGCAATTTTATTAAAAGGGTTCTTAAAAGTCAATAGTTTGCCTGATTACAAAAAATAAATTTTTAAACGCTTTATTCGTAATGGCATGAATATGGTCCCAAAAATCACAATTCCTATTAAATCACTATTTTCGTGGTCCGCTTGACCAATTAATACATGACAATTAATTAAGGTTTTTAGTTGAGATGAAAAAAAGTTAATGGCACGAGAGGGATTCGAACCCACGACCTTCGGCTAGTTACGCCNATGATTTAAAAATGAAGTACACTTCACTAAAGCTCTCTGTCGCCATTTCAATTGTCGTCGAGAATCCAAACCGATTACACGACATTTGAAAAATGGCAAAAAGGAGGGAAATCTCATAAGGTGGGGTTGAGATAGGAAGTTGATGTCCGAGTGTATCGAAGTCACGATAGCTCAGGTGGTACAGCGGCGTATCTAGCCGAAGGTCGTGGGTTCGAATCCCTCTCGTGCCATTAACTTTTTTTCATCTCAACTAAAAACCTTAATTAATTGTCATTCCTATTAAAAACCACCCCGAGATCTGAGATAGTGCCTACCTCCTCAATGGAAAGGATTTGGATGAACTTTGGGGCACAGCAGTTGGAAAGAAAGTCAATGCTTTAAGAACTCATTCCATAATAGTTTGAATTGTTTTTATTCTTATTTATTAGTTTTATTTAACCTGATAACATTTTTTTCTTTAAACCTAAAAATCAAGCATCTTATGTTTTGCCACTACATTAACAGTATGGTCTGTTTATTATTGTTAAGTCCAAAAACTTCGTTTATTTAAAGTTAATTACTATTTGTAAAATTACAGTTACACAGTGAAGTTTTTGCTGTCTTACATGAAATTAGGGATCATTAAAAATTTAGTGTGTATTCATTATTAAATGTAATTAAATTATTACGCTAATTGAATTGGCGATGTTGACTTTTTTTTACTAACTGTAAATCGAGTTTTAATTACTGACGTGTTGACGGCATTAAAACAGGATTTACTACCGCCTTTTGTCACATGTAAATACCGTTTTTTCCTAATTATATAAACAAAAATGTCCAATTCTTAATACGAAAAAAAGAATTTCGACATTTAATATTTTTTTTTAACATTTAGATTTGTCTTTATAGCCGTAAAATGTAATACGACTCTATAAAAACAATAACATGAAATCGTAAAATCATTCTGACCTCGTGCGGCGGTGCACGAGGCAAGCACTTAACCAAAATGGCTGCACACTTCTAAAATCGACAATGAAAACAGACGAAAGTTCGAAGATAATTAACAAGGCAAAAATGTATAATATTGAAGAAAAACATGAAACTATTAAAATTAAATTAAAAAATAAGAAACAACAAGATTTAATAAAAGTAATTCGAAAGAATCGGACTCGAAGACATTCTAGGACGTAATTTACGTACGAGAAGATAACCCACGAAGTTTTTGAACATTTTACGTCGTTTTAAATTAAAAACAATAATTGATGTTTCATACAGTACAACGTTTGGATTGGATATTTTCTTTTTCTTTCGTGGAATTTTTGCCTCGGGAACGTTGGGTCTACAGTATCCCTAGCCGACACTTGTTGATCGCCTAGAAACGCGGTTTGATCGATTCAGTTTCACCCGGTTGTCCGAATTTTGGGAATTAAAGAATCAACAAAAAATTTAACAATTGCGTTGACCTGTACAAACATGTTTTTTGATAACTGAAATGTTTTTAAAAATTTGTATAAAAGAAGAAAAACTCACGTCCATTTTTTTCTCTTTCAAGTCGCTTTTTGTGATTTTTATATAACAATATAATATTTATATGTTTATATAATTTTTTTTGTTTAAGCGAGTAGATCTTGAGAGTTGAGAATCGGCTGGAATAAATCACCTAAAATGGAGACCGGTAACGAAGTGGTGGACCACGAGAGAATACAATTTTGAGGCAAAACGCTAGATTACGCCAGTGACATGTACAAAGGCACAAGTTTGCAAAAAAAAGTACCTCCAAAATAAACAAATTCAACTTTTTCCCCCTAATATTGATAAAGTTTGATTGATAAAAAGTCAAAAAGTAGATCGATGTCGTAAATTGGACAAGGCTTTCGTGAATCGTTGTGAAATTCGACAATAAACTTAAAACCCATTTTTCTTCCTCGAATATGGTAATTGTATTGTATTGGTAATTTAAAGTTTATCTTTATTGATTACGGGAGTCTGTGCTTTGAAAAATTATATTAATTTTCCTTGATGTCGAGTTTTATGGTTTTGCCGTGTACGTGTCGTCGTCAGTTGGCCGGACTGAGCAGTCGCAGTGGCCAAACTCGCCTCGCCATTAAACCAACAACAACGTCGGAGAGAGGTCGTATCGGGACGGGAGCGTCCGTCGAAAACATCGTGCGTTCTCTGAGTAATTTTTTTAACGTTTGGGCCGAGTGCTAGCCGGCGTGGCTAGCCGTGAGAAACGAGGTGAGTCGAATTTGAACTGTTTCGGACAATTTTTCCCTTTTTGTCTCCCCTTTATTACTGGGTGTAAACATGTTACCTGAAACCTTGCGGATTTTGATTGGGCTGGCGCATGCGCAGTCGGGTTCGTAGCGACACGGGTCTTCCCGCTCACTTTTGAATTTTTTTTTCAAAGACCCACGCCGCGTTTGGAAGTATTTCGGCCGTAATTTTCATCAAAAAATAATTCACAAATTCTGTGCAATGTCACAAAGACTTTCTTGAAGCCTGTCTTGAATGCCAGGCGCAAAGATTGCACAATTAACCAACCGCATGATAAATCCAGTAATTGCCACGATGACAACCCGTATACATAATTTGTACAAAATATTTATTAATAAATCACGCAATTTGTTTCTAGTCTATGATTTATCTCAGTATTGATTGTCTTAAAATCAGCAATTTAGCAAGTTGTTCAAGAGAATATAGCAACTCGATAAGCACGCGTTTAAATTTAAATTATTCCTGGTTTCATACAATTTTTCTTCCATTGTACTATTTATTTGCACAATTTTATCAGTCAGCAAGTGATATTTATTAGAGTTACTAGGGGTGTAAGCATTTTTTTCTTTTTTTCCTCGATTTAGCCAGTGTTCAAGCGAGTATAGCAAATCCATAACCCGATAAGCACGTATTTCAGTTTAAATTAATCCTGGTTTCATGCATTTTATTTTTCATTATTAATATTTATTTACAAGATTTTATGGCAGTAAATGATATTTATTAGAGGTTCTAAAGAGGTAAGTATGTTTTCCTTATTTCTGCAATTTAGCCAGAGTTGAAGTAACTAGCAAGCACTATAAGCACGCGTTTAAATTTAAATTATTCCTGGTTTCATACAATTTTTGTTCCGTTATGATCATTTATTTATACAACTTTATCAGTTAGTTAATGATATTTATTTGAGTCACAAAGGGGGTAACATTTTTTTCTTTTTTGCTGCAATTTAGCCAGTGTTCAAGAGAATATTGGGCCGATTTTTGTTTCACTATTTCTGTTTATCTACGTAATTTTATGAATTATTCTTTCTTATTTTTAGCCAGTGTTCAAGTGAATATAGGAACTCTCGATAAGCACGCATTTAAATTTATATTATTCCTGGTTTCATACAATTTTTGTTACATTATGATCATTTATTTATACAACTTTATCAGTTAGTTAATGATATTTATTAGAGTCACTAAGGGGGTAACATTTTTTTCTTTTTTGCTGCAATTTAGCCAGTGTTCAAGAGAATATTGGGCCGATTTTTGTTTCTGGTTAGAGATAAACACTATTTCTGTTTAGCTAAGTAATTTTATCAATTATTCTTTCTTAAATTTTACAAGTGGCCAAGAGAATATAGGAACTCTCGACAAGCTCGCATTTAAATTTAAATTATTCCTGGTTTCATAAAATTTTTGTTCCATTATTATTATTTATTTATACAACTTTATAAGTTAGTTGATGATATATATTAGAGTTACTAAAGAGGTTAGCATTTTTTTCTTTATTACTGCAATTTAGCCAGTGTTCAAGAGAATATAGGCCCGATTTTTGTTGCACTATTTCTGTTTATCTACATAATTTTATCAATTAATTTTCTTAAATTTAGCAAATGTTCAGGAGAATATAGCCAGTCTCAATAAAAGAGTTTTCAAAATGAAGAGTTTCCTTTAATCATAATGCATGTTTGTTTTTGTAAAATATTTTTTATATCTGTCACTTTTGATTTTGATCTGATTGTGAGATGAACACAAACGATAATAGTTAGACGAGTACGATAAGATGACAATCAAATCATTGGTCAATTTACTAATTTTGAACAATACAATTAATTTCAAATCTTTTTCATCATTTTTTTTCTAGAGTTGTTGAAGTGTCCATTATTTTAAAGATATGCTGTAAACACATACAAAAAAGATAAGAAATTCAATGTTTTCAACAAATATATTTACAATACAAAACACAAAACTTTTTACTTATGAGGGTTTTATTTAAAAAGTTGTCATATATTTTTTTAAACTTCATTTTTCCTCTTCCTAAAAGGTTTTTTTAATGTGAGAAATTTTCCAAGAGACGTGTGTTTTTCAAAAACAAGTTATTTTATTTCATATTTTTCTTTGACGTTTCGGGATATTTTTTCTTGATGATGGGGAGGCAAAAATAGCCCGAACGTCAAAGAAAAATATGAAATAAAATAACCCCTTTTTAAAAAACAATGTGTCTCTTAGAAAATTTCTCACCTTAAAAAACATTTTAGGAAGAGCAAAAATAAGGTTAAAAAATATATGATATCTAGATGCATGAAACCAACTAAAATAATTTTAAAAATCGGTTATTTTATTAGATGTACATTTTTTTTTTTTTTTTTTTATTAAACTAAATTTCAGTATTGAAAAACCTCCAAAAATATTATAATTAATTTACACATTATTAATTTTTGTAACATGTTGGCAATAGTCCCTGAAGCACACAGGCTTAATTAAATCTTCCTAGTGATTTTTCCAAAAGTAATGATCACTTTAATTGCAGCAAGTTGGATAATTGATTATAGCAATGCAGAGGCAAATAATTAAAAGGTTTTTGCATTTTAATTAAATGATTAATTAAACAATGGTCATCGTTGCATTGTTCTGCACGCCTAACAATATAACATTTGCAAATATTATCAATTGACAGATAAACATTCATGCATGAAAATGTACATTTTTGTTTCTTTCAAACAAAACTAATAGAAGAATACAATTTGATCTTTGTTCTATTTTAATGGTTGTAGATTAACAAAATAAATAATAGCTATTGTTCTTTGTCGTAATTCATACAATCCATGAACACAGTATAATTATTTATTTATCATGTTGATTATTTTTAAATTTCTAAATAAATATTGTCATCATCTTGTGACTAATAATAAGTCTTTTGCCAAGAGAGGCTCTCAGCATGGGTATATTCTGACGACAACCCCCTCTTCCTGTAAACTTTCCCTTGCTTTTATTATACTAGTTAACTACCCCTATATTAAAAAGGAGGGGAGAAAAAAGTGAAAACACATGTGAAAGATGACATTTATATGTTGTTATTCAATTGAGAATATAGAACAAAAAATGGAGAAATTCTTTTTTTAATGTAGTATTAAATTTTAATAGTACAGGACTTGAAAGTTGTTTTAAAATACGATTAAATTGAAATTTTAATTGGCACCTTTAGGTTTAAAGTTGAGGTTGTTTAAGAATGTTATGATAAAAACTATACTTGCGTGTATTTTTTATGACTTTAAGTGATTTTTGTTAAGAAATTCTTTTATATCATAATTTAACTGAGCATCATGGTAAATTTTTTTCTTACTAAATATTACATGCTGTATTCATGACATTGAGGTGTAAACCTGTAGATTGATCATCAGTGGTCAACCTAGTCTTGTACACTATGTCAGCAATAATTTTTGTAAAATTGATAATTACAATAAAAGGACTAATAGCCTCTGAAGAAATTGAAATATCGAAATATGTTGATGAGGATGATCAGAGACTATCAATCTATGTAATCATGATTTTTATCTCAACCTGATATATGATGAAAAAATTGAAACAAATTATAACAAATAGTATAAATGATTGAATAAAACTTCACAATTTATTTGGAAGTCCAATTTACATGTCGTTAAAATATGTATATGTTTCACTGTGTCTAATCGTAACTGTGTTTTTTCAGTGATAACAATGTCAGCAGAAGTGCAGGCCGTTGTTAAAGTAGAGAGCAGGCTCAATTCACCAGTGAAGAGAGGTCAGCCGACAGTTCAGACGAATCTCACCGCAAAGAGGCCGAAGGGGGAAGACGGCAAATTCAAGTTCACCAAGAAACGTTCGCAGATCTTCTCTGGTGGAAAGATGTTCCCGCCGTATAAAAAACGGAAAAAAGAAGTCCACATACCACCAACAAAATTCCTCCTAGGCGGAAACATTAGGGACCCTCTGAACCTGAACAGCTTTCAGGATGAAGAAATCAATAGGAGAATGAACGCAGTGACGCCAGAGTCTTCGCCGTTGCCAACACCTCAGCATAGGAAAGGCCAAGTCGAGGTGATAATTCCGGCAAATATAAGGGACCCACTTAACTTAGCAGGAGGCGAAGAAGACAACTATGCATACGAAGCTTCATTCCTTTCATCACAAACCAAAAGGGTGAAAAAGAAAAACAAGAAAAAAAGACAACGGTCCTCAACAGGTTCAGGAAAAGAAGACAACGCTGATTTCAAGTGAGTATTGCTTTTCAGGCTTATCAACAGTTCCATGAGTCTTCCTTTCCATTCTTTTTTTTTATGTTGTACTTTTCCTTCCTTTTGAGATAACAGTTTAATCTGCTGATAATTATGTTGGTGACACCGATGTCATTATGATTTGTTTACTCTTCATATCACAAAGCACATCTAAAACAATGAGAGAAAAAATAACATACTGATAATAAAATACCAAGCTGCATTCTGATATGGTGAAATTTGGTAAAGCAGATTTCTAAGTTGTCATGAGGAAAAATCCCAACACAAACTTAACCGTGAAAAAAGAGCCAAGTTCCAGATCCCCTCCAAAAAATTAGCCTATCAATGTAATGATTATACACTTTTTTACTCAATTAAGACAGACTTAATTAAGAATAAGCAGATCAAAATCATTAAAAATTAGTATTAATCATACTTTTTAGTTCAAACATTTGGATTCTTAATAAAGAAATAAGTATTTTTATTTAATCAGCTAGCCCAGAACATACACTTAAATTTATTATTTTTTCTTAATAAGTAGATATTTTCAATTAATCATCTGGCTCAGATCATGGACATTTCTAAAAAAAAAATTCATTAAACACAATTTATAAAAATTTAAAAAAAATTCATTCCTGAGGACTATTTGGGCCACCAAAACCACCCATTCAAATCATGCAATTGATTATGAAACATAATGTTTTTTGTTTTTTTAAATCGATGGATGTTTGTGACTTCAAGCATTTAGATCTACCATAAAGTGGCACAAATTTTAAGAAATTGCAATTTTCAGATTTTTACCTTTACTTACAATCTAAAACCTACCTTTGTACCAAATATCACAATTCTACGTATACGGGAAGTGGCTTATAATTTTGATTATGAGAGCCCGTAAAGTGGCGCTAATTTGAGAAACTTGCAATATTCAGATTTTTCCCTTTGATTACAATACAAGCCCTACCTGTATGGGAAGTGCCTTACACGACAATTTTGATGATAAGACTAAACCCCCCCTCTAAAGTGGCGCTAATTTTGATAAAATTGCAATTTGCAGAATCTTACCTTCTTTTACAATATAAGACCTACATTTGTACCAAATTTAAGGTTTCTACTTACACAGGAAGTGCTTTATAATTTTGATGGTGAGACTACATTCTCCCCCACTAAAGCGCCACTAATTTTTAGAAAATTGCAATTTTTACATTTTTCCTTTACTTCCTATATAAACCATACTTTTTTTTTTTTATTGAATTTCACGTTTCTTGCTATTCGGGAAGTACCTTATAATTTTGATGATCAGTGAGTCTGTTATTTTTAAAAAAATGCAAATTTTGAAATTCTCCCCTTTCTAACAGGCTTAATATTAAGTGCAGAAATTTTTACAATGTCCCAAGCTATCTGAAGTTAATTTATGTTTCAAATTTTAAAAGCCGATCTTAATAGTTAGCGGAGATATGTGGGCAAGAAAAACTGATATCTTAAAAAAAGGGAAAAAAGATACACACGGTGGCTTGCTGGTACTTGGCCATGGCCAGCGCACAGCTGTGTGCTCAGATAATCCAAGAAATAAGAAAGAAATTTGTTACTAAATTATATAAATTACAACTAAGATTTTATTATACCTAATTATTAATGTAAAAAAGCAATTTTTTTATTGTAAAATATGTCTCATTTTAGATCTGATGAGTCAAAGAGTGATGAAATGATCGTAGAACAAGAGCCTCCAGTCGAGGAGACAGTACAACCTGTTGAGAAAGTTGAAGAGAAGGTCGATGTCAAAGTGGAGGAAGAGATGCCACAAACTCCTGTAGAAATGCCTGCAAAGCCTGTCGTACTCGAGCTGCCAGTCGTACAGGGCGATTTTGCGCCCAAAGAGGCCACTAAAAGGCCCAAGCCGGCTGACAAAGAATCACCTGTTGCAGAAAAAGAAAAGAACAAAGTTCGGAAGGTGTTCGACACAAAAGACAAAATTGTGAGCCCGGTTGTACCACAGCCTGGGGCCTGGGCACCAACACACAGGTTCCGAGGGGGCAAGCAGGCACCAAGACCTGCACAGAATACTCCAAACTTCAAAGAAAAAAACAAGAGGTTTCAGTATGGAAATTACAATAGGTAGGTTTAATTTGCTTAACCTTTAGAAGTTCTTTCTATGTTTTACTGCAACACTTTTCACATTTTTATTATATTTTTTCCCAGGTATTATGGTTATAGAAATCCAGGACAAGAAGTTGACCCAAGGCTAAAGCTATTTGCAAAGATGAACAATGTTTTTGAAGGAAAGGATGTTTTAGACATAGGCTGCAATACTGGCCACGTTACAATAAGCTTAGCAAGGGACTTCAAAGCAAGAAAAGTTGTCGGTCTAGACATAGACAAAAGTCTGATTGACGCTGCCAAAGCTAATATAAGAAAGAAGTACACTAACTCAAAAAATTTCCCTGTCTCAATGCCACTAGTCTACGGGTCACTGGAAGTTCCAGGAATACCATCTTCTGAAATGTTTCCTTACAACGTTTCATTTGTACAGGTTTGTTGTTGAACAAATCTTAGACCCCCCCCCCAATTGTTTCTTTTTATTTATGTTAATTTTTGTTTACAGGGCAATTATGTTTTGGACAATGATGTCCTTATCGACATAGAGCAGCCGCAATTCGATGTCATCCTCTGTCTGAGCGTGACGAAATGGCTCCATTTAAACTGGGGTGATGAAGGACTAAAACGGGCTTTTGTCCGCATGTACAAACAGCTGAGGCCAGGAGGTGTCCTCATCCTTGAACCGCAGTCCTGGGGTTCTTATAAAAATAAAAAGAACATAACGGTAATTATAATTTGTGATATATCAATGTCTCAAGTTGTTTCCCCATTTTGATTGACTACAGTGCCTATATTAAAAAAATAAAGTTTCTTTCTAGTTCCACTTATGCAATCTAAAATCTTTTCAAAAACTTGCAAGAAGGGGATTGAGGCGTCAGGGGGTCTGATTTTTATATTAACTACATTATCAGTTGTGGGATCGAACCCTGGCATTGTTGGAATTTTGTATGAAAAATAATTTTTCAAAAACATATTGTAATGTGGATTGAGTGAGCCTCTTCATTCGCATCACACTACGGGTAGACATTTGTATAATCAACAGGAATATTTAAAAAATCCTACAAGAAGATTTTAACTTGGCCTGGCTAACTATTAAATTGAGAAATTTACCCCTTTGTTCTACGTAGTGCTGAGCCTATAATTTTATTTTAAAAAATAGTAATAATCCTTCAAACTATATTAGTTTTTATTTTCATCTATTAATTTTCCAATTTGCTATCTATAATAAAAATAATTTAATTTTTAATAAGTTGAGTCAATGTTTTCAACTATTCGTTTTCTTACAGGAGACCATGTGGAGGAACTACTCAAAAATCAAGCTTCTACCGTCAATGTTCACCGAGCATTTGCTGTCCGAGGTCGGATTCAGCAAATGCGAGGTGATCGGTGCACCGTTCCACACAGTCAAGGCTTTCCAGAGGCCGATCAAAGTATACACGAAGGCGAAGGCAAGCGAGACCCAGGAAGAGGTCACCCCTGAGCCCATGCATGATATCACAGGGCAGCAGACTGAAAACCTTAGTTGATAGAACAATGTATAAAAAAAATAAAAATAAAGAAAGCTTTACTTAATTGAATAAGAAAAAGATGTTTACCATTTTTATTTTTATTTGTTATTTATCTCCTCTTTTTTTCTCACACCAAAGAGCTGTGGATTGTATATTTTTGTAAAATATATTTCTTTTCTTCTTATTTTTTTTTATTACTTTTTTTTTGTAAATGGTGTCGAAATGTAAATATTGTAAATTTAGAAAGAGACAGATTATATTTGTAGATTTGAATGTGTAATCTAATTGTACAAAAAGCGGCATTTCCATCATGAAAGTGTATATTTTATTAAGGATAACGGCGTTGATGAAATACAATAATTGTCACTGGTTAAAAAAAGTGTCTGGACGATTCAAATTTTCAAATATAATGATTTCATAATGGGACTGCCTTTAATTGCTGGATTTGAAAATTTGCTAGAAATACCTAGTTGTTCAGTTTCAAAAACTGATATTTTTCCACACAATTTAATCATGTAAAGTAACTGTGCGCAAATTTATTATATTATTTTGGCGAGTAAATTTAAAATTTTGTATTTTTTTCCCCCGAAGTCAAAGGAAAATGTGGATGTCAGCTTTCCTTTTCTCATTGTTTTTAGATTTTAAGTTAAATTAAGTGTTGAAAAATTCAGTTACCTTAACAAAAATGTTACTTTTTGTTTAATAGAAGACATCAAATAAAATAATTAGCTTGTGTATAATTTTCATACCATTATCCCATTCTAAATTTTAAACTCGTTAACATGTCTCATAAAAAAATAAAATTTTATAATATTGATTTTTTATATATATACATAAGTTAAACACTACGATCTTGCCAAAGATTGAGCTTCCATCCAAGTGGTTGGTGCAACTGACTTATTTGCATAACGGTTCTGGGATCGAATTCAGGCTTAACTCACGAAATTTTCATCGGTAATAATTTGAAAGAAAATTGTAATGTGGTTTCACTATAAGTTGTCAACGCCTAACAGGTAGTTGGACAAACAGAGTGGAGGTTAAGATGGTATGCAGGTGAAGAAGTCAACCGTGCGCAGACAGTAGCACACACCCTGGCTTACCTTTTCTTTTGAAAAATTGCATCGTTTCCTATAAAATTTATTCAGAAGGATTTTTTTTTCAATTGTACTGTACCATTCCCAAATAAACAAATGTATAATCAAACTTAAAACCAAGAGGTTTAAGCCTTTTGCCTACTCTTATGGATAATAACTTGGTTGTATCAATATCAGTGGTATCAATTTTATTTGCAATACTGTGACAGGGTATTTATCTTATTCTAGGAATGAGCCAAAATCACTAAATCATCCACATTTAAGAGCATGATCAATTCTCTTGTTTCCATTCAACCCAATTAGCTCCATGGGCACATAAAACATGAAAACAATAACGAGCTTAAAATTTCCCCATGCAAGACTCCTGAAATATTACAACATTTAGAGTGAACATTAATGTTCATTCTATATAATTTTTCATAAGGTTTAAAATGTTTTATGGAAGTCCACAAAAATACCAAATATATTACCTTTTCTGTTTTGTATTAACTGGCAAGAATGAAAAAAATTATTTACATAACCACCCCGTTTCAAAAGCCACCCTGTTTTTATGGAATAACAATATTTTTCTGACCAGGCTATTATGTGAACTGCCTAGGATGTAAGAAAACAATACCAGTAAAGAGGGGAATTTAATATATAGTTCTGTTATACAATGGAGTTGGACACAATCTCTGAAGTAAAATTAAATTAAAGTGTTATTTATAAAATTTTAGTTTCAATTTATTTTTTGTCGTTTAATACAACAAAATAACTGAAATTAAATTTAATGTAATAGTAAAATTTATTATACAGTTTCTGTTTCTGTTTAAAAAATTAAATATTGCATGTTTTTATGTCATCCAATCTAATGTCAGAGTTGTTCATAAGCTCAGAGTGTCACATGTGACAGTTAGAAGTGTGCAAGGTTTAAATGTAACCAAAATATTCTGCCCCGTCCTCTGTAGATGTCAAACTCACATATCATTACTCAAATCTGCCCCTCATTAGCAAATGATAATTTCAAGACAAATAAAAACTGATTTGACGTCCTGGAATGGGGAAAAAACCCGCCAATGTACATAATAGACATACAGAATACAGACTCCATGATTTCCAGTATTTCGCACAGTCTTTGGGAAAATCAAATTGGCTAATTTGGTATTTGTCGTTCTCACTATCACCGTGTTTACGCATTTATTTCAGCAATGTAAATCGAAAAGCCAAATTACTGATGCCAAGTTGGAAGCGTGCCTTAAATTAAAAATGACCACTTACAAGCAGGATGAAAACAAACTTTTACAGGAAATGCATTTGGTATACACACATTAAAACCCACGAGTTCAATTAAGTATGATTTTTTTTATATTATTGTTAAATTGAAAAATTTAAATTTGCTGTAATTACAAAATATATAATTATTGCTCCCATGGCTTATTTTATAATAATTTAATTTCCTTGAATGTTCAAGGAATAAACATAATTTTATTTAAATTAATAATTTTCTTATCAATTATTAGTTGTTTTTTTTTTGAACATTCAAACAGGCATAATTTTATTTATAAGTCAATAATTTTTTATAAACTAACAGGGTTTTTTCTTGAAGGTTCAAACAGACATAATTTTATTTATCAGTCAATAATTTTTTTATGATTTATTAAAGGTTTTTTCTTGAATGTTCAAACAGGCATACTTTTATTTATAAGTCAATAATTTTCTTATCATTTATTAAAGGTTTTTTTCTTGAATGTTCAAACAGGCATACTTTTATTTATAAGTCAATATTTTCTTATCATTTATTAAAGGTTTTTTTCTTGAATGTTCAAACAGGCATAATTTTATTTATACGTCAATAATTTTCTTGTAAATTATTAAAGGTTTTCTATTTGAATGTTCAAACAGACATAATTTTATTTATAGTCAATAATTTTTTTATCAATAAAGGTTTTTTCTCGAATGTTCAAACAGGCATAATTTTATTTTTAAATCAATAATTTTCTTATCAATTATTAAAGGATTTTTTACAATAAAAATTCATCTGCCTGTGGATTATAATAAAAATTTAATGTAAACCCTTCATGGCTGGAATTCGTCACTTCAATTCAATCCAGAACTATTTTTTTAACCTATTATTTTTAAGGAAAAATTTAGACATATATGAGAATTTTCAGAAGAAAGATTTCTTATTTTAGATGTTATACCAGGAATTTGATCATTACCGATCATCAACTGGGTCTGCCTATCCTACCTAGGTCATTTTATTCTTGCCTTCTTCAGTGGTGGGATTGTCATTGAAGCAAATTTCTTTCCGAACACGTATAACAACCTACACCAACCATGTCATTGACTAGTTGTACGTTGAAATAGTAAATTGAAATTTTAATCCATAAATATATTGGTCTGTGGTGGTGAATTTATTTTTACAATTAAATTACACGTTTAACATTCCAGCAGATCTCACTGCTGGTTTAAATGATATTCAAATACAGGGTGTCCAACTTCCGGGTTCGAATCCTGGCACAGTCCATTGATTTTTAATTGAAAATAGTATAACAAAAAATGTGATGTAATATGGTTTGACCCCTCATCCATAACAGCAACAGGTAGTTGGATGTGAAGTCTCCTGTATGACAGGAAATTACAACCATATGATTACGTAAACTGGTTGGTGAAAATTGACAGTTATGACTTAAAATCAGCCCACTATAAAGAATGTGCAAATAAATATAATAAACAAGAAATGCTTTACTACAAAAAGGACACACACAAAGGGCCAACAATGACCTCAGCTGCTTGTCAGCCCATAAACCATAAAAAAAGTGAGAATTGATCAAGATGATGATGAAATTACAGTTTCATCACCTCCAGACTACAGAAAATCCACAGTTTTTTTTATTAGTTTCCCAATTAGATATTTTACGTCTAATTTGGACTTTCACCCAGTTTAAAGTGGGCATATTTTTTTCTTTTTTTTTTGCATTATATTAATGAGTTAGGTAAATAATAATGTAATTATTTTAAAAAACAATAGCATATATTTACAAAATTTTAAGAAATTACAGTATAAAATGTTAACGGTTTGTTAAATTTGTTGATTCTTTAAGGGTAGTCAATTCAGAAAGATAATTTTGGGTTTTCTCGATGGTTTTATCGACGAGTTGCAAAGAGGCGATGTGGGAGTTAAGAATGCTTCCAATCTGAGTGACAGGGTTGAGGACCTCTGTCATATTCGAGGCTTGATTCATGCTTTCAATGAGCTCATTAAGCTCTTCGTGCACACGCTTTATCTCGACGTCGAGGTTGGATATATGGTCGTACAACTGTCGCCTCTGCTGGTCGATCTTGCCTGAAGGGCAGAAGGTTTTATTCTCATCCGACTTCTTCTCTAAGTCTGTGAGGTAGTCGTTGAGCTCGGTCAAGTGGCAAGCGACGAAATCGAGGTCGTAGTTGATGTTCGCCTGCGACTCTTTCAGGTTTTCCATGTTCTTGTTGAGCTCGATGAGCTTGGTGCCGTTCTCCGTGAGTTTCTTGTCCCAGTTGTTGATCTCGGCGACTTGCTCGTGGAACGTGGCCTCGGTGTCGCGCACCTCAACAGCCCAGATGTTCAGGAAATTGTCCAGTTGGGACATGGTCATCGACTTGGTCTCTTCCTTTTTCTGGCCGACTGCAAATAAATTCAGATGTTAGCTTTTGATGAGTATTATAAAAGAAAACCGTCTTACTGGACAGTCCCGGGGCAGAGGAGCTCGTGGCAGGAGTCAGAGTCAACGTCTTAGACGCTTCCGCGGTCGTTTTGGCAAGAGACGACGTCGCCGTGCTGGTCGTTGCAGGAGCCGTCAGTTGACCAGCGGACGTCGTCGTCGTCGACGTGAAAAGTGACGCCAACGTGCTGGTCGTCGTTGTAGTTGTCATTCTTGGATTTTGTAATACTTGCAGTGACCCTCCAGCAAACGACGTGACGGACACTTCCGAGCTGCAGCAAATTCAAAACCTGCGCTTCCTTCGAGGAGGCTATTGAGAAGGTAATCCAAACCGTTAGTCTGACCTGCTAGACACCTCGTTAATCTTGCTGGGTTCAAACCTTGCGTCATCAGCAGGCAAAGTTTTGAAATAATTATAATAATAATAATATTAATAAAAAATTACATTTTTACATAAATTTTGTTAAAAACAAACATCAACAGCATAAGTTTTTAATAATTTACCACGATATTTATATGCAGTTTTGAAGAAATTAGCATGACCTGCTTGGCCCTCGTTAATCTTGCTTCGTTCAAACCCCCCTACAACCTTTCTGAGTGCTATAAAGCACTGACTCCAAACATTCACTCATAAACTAATTTATCCTATTGCCATCCAAAGCTTTAATTTATTCTTTTAAAATTCGTAATTTGGAACGCCAAATGTATGCAAAATCCCATTTTAAATTACATATAAAATTTATTCCTGTTTTTTAATTAAAATTTTGAATTTTTGTTCCATACTTTAAACATTTCCCATAGGCGTGTATGTAATAATAAGAATAGCTCTCATAAGTCTCAGCAAGAGTATAGACTCATCCTTATCCTTTTATTCTTCCATTCAAATATGATAGATAAACTAACAATGCTACATAACAATAATAAGAAACAAAAACGCAATAACTTTTTTTTTTTTGAGCTAACTTTCTTATTTAACATTATATTTAACAGGACACTTCAAATTAAATGGACATTTCAAGAAGATTGGTATAATCAAGACGGCCCATGCAGTTTCTGGGTCTTGTATGAGTGAATGTATTTATTGGTGTGAATGGGGAGGGGCTGATTGTGAAGTAGGTTCTCCACCGCCCCTCAGGTTGTGTTTATGACTTGGGTTGATGGCGGACATTTTGTACAAGTACCCCATCGACCCGAAATTAGTTGTTTTTTTTTCGCAACAGCAGAGGTCATTTAAACACTCAAGGTGCCGGTGTTTTTGAAAAAAAGCCCATTTGTATGTCGGGTTGGAATACAGGGCCGCTGGATTCGAACCCGGGACCTTTACCTTACAGTGATGAGCGCCGTGTCAACGCCTAATCCGTTGCGGCCACCGACGTCCCCAAATTAGGTTAGTTTATTATAGTGAACAGGTAGATGGGGGAATATTGAGTACTCCATCTACCAAAGAGAAAGAGTGCGATCAATGTGAATAGGTGTGTATGTATTTATTGTTGTGACTGTGTATTGAGTGTGTGTTGCAGTATTTTACTTCCCCTGGGGGCTGAAATGACCTAACTGTCTGATGCCCAAAAAAGTTGATAATTCGTTTTAAAGAAATTGTCAAGTGCATTTTATAACTGTATCAAACATTAAAATCGAACTATTATTTTCATTTAAAAACCCAAGCTAATATCTGACAAACGATTTTCCTATTTTGTGTATTTTCTTATTGAAATATTTTATATATTTTAATGGTACACACATCGTTAAAAAGCTACGTTCCTCTTCGTTCAAACGATCTATTTGATGTTAAAATACTTTTAGCCATGTTTGGATTATAACTGTTTCAATCAAATAAAAATTTAGGGGTCAAAAAATCGATAAATATAAATTCAAACAAAAATTTATATTTAGTGGTCTCTTGAGGTTCCTCATTATCGTGATTCTAGCGTTATAAAACCGTTTAGAAACCGACTTTCTCCGAAATTGGTGTAAATTGATTTTTTCACTGATAATTCCGACGACTTTCTTCGTGACTGCAGTGCACTAGTGCATTCCTAGTGCAACTCTAACATTATTTTTCTCAAAAACTAGGAGACCGATTTTAATAGTTGATAATTCGTTTTAAAGAAATTGTCAAGTGCATTTTATAACTGTATCAAACATTAAAATCGGACTATTATTTCTATATAAAAAACGAGGTTAATTCTGACAAATAATGTGTGGTGATTAGTGACCGTTAATCGATAATTATTCAGACATCGTGAGATGCGGTCTGGTGTGATGTAGGTTTCAGAAAAACATTTTCTTTGTCTTGCCAAAGTTTCGATTTTTATTGAGATCATCTTCAGGGGCTGAGATTTACTAACATTGTTTAAATTTAACAAATGCATGTAGGATGTGGAAAATTGAATTTATACAATGCAAAATATATTTTTTATATTCAATCAAAGTATTTCTACTCACTCAAAGTGTTTGTCTTCTGTGTAATTGTGCCATTCTTGCATGTCGTGTTGAGAGGGCCAGTGAGATTTTGCTATTTTGTGTTTATGTACGTTGGATTTTGAAGGGGTGGGGAAGGAAGTCGGTATAGAAAAAAGACATTTTTGTATAAGGCGTCGGCTTCTTTGAGGTGAAAAGAGCCGACGAAGGGAAACAATGTGTTGGTAATGGTTCGGCCCGATTATCCTTTCAGGATTATATAGAAAGGGATAAATAGGAAAAGGAAAGCTAAATTGTTGGATAAATAGACTATGAAAAATATTTGATGTGTGGAATGTAATGTAATGATATATGTATGTTGTCTATATTGAATTTTATTAATGATATTGGCAAAATATTGGGGAAAAAAAGAGCTAGTTTACTTGAAAAATATTTGGTTTTTAAAATTTTTTGGTTATTGATTAACTTTGATAGGTTTGATTGCAATCGACATAAAAAATGCTGTATAATAATACATTCACATTGGTTTAAGCAGGGAACACATTTACCCGATGCAACGCTATGCGACGCTACCCGTCGCCAATCCAAAGTCCAATTTTCCATAATATTGCATTACCCCCGTGCACATCTGCCCGATGCCATGCAACACTACCCTACTCAACGCTCTACGATTCTCACTGTCCAGATTTTCGTCGGGTAGCATCGAGTACAGTCGAAGACAACTGAACCGGACACTGATATTTTTATTCAAACTATATATATTATTGTCGTTGTATTAATTACAACATACTTTTTTAAAATAAACGAAATTAACCGAGATCAAAAATTCATTAGTTTTTTTTTAAATTAATTTTATTGGTTTGATAGAAAATTGATCAAAACACCGGAATACCATTTTTTGATATATTGAATTTAACTAACAATTTATTATACGGTTTTGCTCATAAAATGTAATTAACAATTTATTTCATGGTTTTGCTCATAAAATTACACCATTTTTGTCGAGTAACTTCAGAAGGACACTCATATTTTTTGTAGTTTCAAACTAAGTATATGCAATTTTGTCGTTATATTAATTACAACATTCCTATTTTTATATAAACTAAATTAAACGAGATCAAAAATTCATGTTTTTATAAAAATTATTTAATTACGGTGGTTAGGAAGAAAATTTATTAAATCAACCGGAATAACTTTATTTAAAACAATTAAGTTTAACAAACAATTTATTACATGGTAGTGCTCATAAAATTTAACTAACAATTTATTACATTGTTTTGCTCAAAATAATGCATTAAGAAAAAAAGAGGCGTTGCGATTGAGATACTGATTATTGTGATACACGCTGTGTGAATGGCGTGCGCTTGACGTCGCATAGACGTGCACACCCTACCAAAACGTGACAAGGCGTCGGGTAGCATCGAGTAGCGTTGCATCGGGTAATTGTGTTCCCGGCTTAGAAAGCAAGTAGAAAGGCGAAATAAAGGTATTTTAAAAAACGGAAAATTTCAAATTTTACATTTTTTGGCGAACGAGGGCCTATTTACAAGATGTGGTGCGTCTGATATTTTGGATCTGATATAAAAAAGTTTGATGCAAATCAGTGACACGCCAGACTGTCGTCCACTTGTAAGATCCGCTGAAGAATCTCGTCAAGAATTCTTCGAGATCCCTTGTCGAATTTGATTTCCTTATCAACTAATCCGGATTTTTAGAATGTAATGAAAAATTGTAGTTGGGCGATTTAAGGATGGGATTTGGAGGGATACCGTTAAAGAATGTTATCTTGAAGAGTCGACAGTCGAAATGAAGCGGGCATTCTGCTCGTGGCTCTTCGTCTTTCGATTTTAGCCGAACCCCCACCAGCACGTCGGACGGACAGGAAAACCCAACAGAGTGGAATGAGTGGACGGCCCTTACTTCCTTAGCTCTGACTTTCAGTTCTCTAGTGTCACCAGGCACGTTGTATCATTCTGCCGTACTCCATCAAAGAACCTAGTCAGAGCTGAAGCATGAAGTACCTGGTCTTCACGCTCACCCTCGTCTTCTTCGGTACGTTCTCGCTTGCCTTTTCCGAGTCGAGTGTATATCTATTTTTATGTGTTTTAGCCGTGGCGGAGGAGACCCTCGACGACAAGGGCTTGGTAAAGGAGCTCCAAACCCTGCAAAAGGCCGTCCCCGGGTTGCCCGGTCTCCCCGATCTTCTGGCAGGCCTCCCGTCCATCGATGAAGGCGAGGAAGCCTTGAAAGAGAAATGCATGAAAACCGGAAACAACGAGACTTATGAAAAAGCCGTGGTGAGTTTTTTTGTTTTCAATATTTCAATATGGAAAAGAGTTGATGAGACTGGAAAACAATTCGAGCTAATGAACCCATTCACCTTGGAATAGACACTCTTAGGCAATAGTTAATTATCCTTATTTAATTTTGAGAAAAAATCCTTGTCGAGTTTAATTTTATACTAGTTATGAAATTCTTTTTTTCCCCGTTTGACGCACCAACTAACGCACATTAAACGCCGCTTCAACTATCGCACACGTGAATGCCGCTTCAACTATCATCGAACACGTGAACGCCGCTTCAACTGACTGGTCAGCCTAGCTGGATGCATCAGTTCATAAACAGGATTTAATTTACAAATTCTCTACAAAAACTTCTATTAAATAAATAAATTTCTCTTCCAATTGGCTACTAATTTAAGCAATTCCATCTCATCAGATTTAATTGTTAAATTTAATTATTAAATCGTTGTTAGAATGGCCAAAGATAAAACCACAAGATAAGCAATTTTTTTTAATCATCCCTGATATTTTGTCTAGTCATCTTTTGTTATTAGTTTATTTGCTAATTTGCATAAAAAGTAAGATTATACATTAAAAAAACAGTTAGTATAAAATGGTCAATACGGCTGTATTCTTAACTTACAGTAATAATACTGTGGACCCGACAAACATCCGAGGTCATCATCGACCTTCTGCGTGTTTTTAATTCTTTTTCTGGTCTTTCACGTGGATTTTTCAACCTGCAGCCGTTTCGATCTGTTATTGACTCTGCTTTTTTATGAAACTGAGTCGACATCATAAAATACCAGCTTCTCATTTGTACCTCAGGTTGTCAACTACAGATAGATATAAAACGTACAGTACATATTATATGTATTACCAGAAGCATCGATGTCTGGGTTGAATCCTCTCGATTCTCACTAATAACTCACCCCAGAGTACTCTATATTCTGGTGGGATTAAACAATCCCTGAGATACAGGAAAAGCAATCTATGCCCGCCACTGTGCCTCAAGACTTTGCTCAGGTCTGATGATATTGCCTATAAACATCAAGCATTCAACGATTCAAATTGGTTGACCTTTATTTTATTCTTACATAACAGGCACCTAGGTGGTTGCTTTCCAGCCATTAGGTGCACATATTATTCTTGTATGACCTATGTGATATACTTATCAGTATGTCCTTTTCCCTTGTTGGCCCATTCTCAGTAGACCAGTGAACGACATCTTTCTTAGCCTGCCACAGTTTGGCTGGCAGAGTTATTTCTATTTTTACAAGCGGTTTTTCTATTCTCCTTAACTTATTATAATTAACCAATTAATTAATTTTGTTGTAAAAGACCAGCAATAAACTATAACAATTTTTATAACAAATTTGTAAAATAAACTAGTCCTGACTTAATTGTCAAAAAATATGTGCAGGGCTGAGCCCGTATGAAGGGAACCGCAGTGGCCAAGTGATTAGGGTATCTGACTCATATCAAATACCAATAGGACATTGATTTTTAATTGATTATAGTTTGAAAAATGTATTTTGATGTGGTGGACATTTGATCAACTTTCTTGGGGTGGCTACAATGGTTTAGGCGTTCACTGTAAGGTAGAGGTCTAGGGTTCGAACCCGACATACGTACAAAAATGTTTTTTTTTTTTCAAACACCTGCACTCTGAGGGCTCATATAACCCCCTCATTAAAAAAAGAAGTGGTTTGACTCCTCACCTACGGCACTCAATGAGTAGTTGGATGTTAAGCCCTCCTGTATGACGGAGATACATGGACATTTATTTCACTTTTTACTTTTAGATGCTGAGACCTGTACCAGTCATAAGTAAATTTTTAACCAAACCTAGTGTTGACCAAAAATATACCTTACAAAGTGTACTGTTGGATCCAGAACCAAGGTGTTTTCTGCCATAATGAAAACGAATCCAGTGAGGCTTGTCAGGTCGGATGATCACAAGCATCCAAACAGCAAGAAAATAACTGAAAAAACTGACACTCCAAATGTAAGACGGAGGTTCAAATTATAATATAGAATGAACAGGTTATCCATCTTGTTCATGCTACTAAGCAAAACTCAAAAATTTATTATGATTGAAGGCTGAAGCCATAATCTTGAATATTGCAAGTAGATTTTTATATTTGTTAATCGTTAAATCATTAGAAATAGTTTCAAAGTGCTGATGAAGGGGAGATGAATTCTTCAGAAGCTTAACAAAGGAACTGAGGGTTTTTCCCTTTCTTTCAACTTTCGCCTTATCCCTTATCTTTTATATATATTTATAATACTAAGGCTGATATAAATCACATCAAGATAACATGGTTGCCGTATAAGTCAACACTTGATAAGTGTAAATCAACACATTTACTTACAAAAAACAATTGTGTTTGTCATGTTTTGAAAGTTTATTTAGATATCATCAGCATTAAATACAATTATAGAATCCCTTGACTAATAATCATTAGTATGATTATTGGACAGAATTCTTTGCTGCTTATCTTTAAACTATGTACTGCATAGGAATAGTCATTTCTTAAGGGCATCTCATACTCAGTTCTTGGTTTGAATTATTAAAAAAAAAGTTAACCGTGGGCGATTTTTCCATGTTATCTAAAACATTAGTTAAACATGTAGTTAGACCTTACACCTTTCTATATTGTAGGAAAATTACTTTGCTTTATTATTATTATTTTTTATTTTTTTAATTGGCTTATTTGGGGTTGATGAAGAATACAATTCTTTCCTCCACTGTTGACCTAAACAAGTCTATTATGGAATCCCCTTAGCTTAAAGCTTTACTACCTTGGAAAGTGCGCCGTTATTCTTTATAAAACTGAGCACTTTCCTTGGTGCCTCTTCTTGGATCTCTTTAGGTACGAGAAATGTCCTACCAAAGTGGCTGTATAACAAATGGCCTAAGCGGAATCTGCTATACTCAGAATGGAAACAGATCAATCGATACTGCGCAACATGGTTGAAAACCACTTATCTGTAATTGTAATAAGGAAAGAATGCAAAACCCATACTGAAAAACAAAATATGCTCTGGTTTATGCTACAAAAACTCAATAATTCTGTTACTCTGAAGATTTGTTCTATGTATCACTACACTTTCGTTTATATAACATATAGAACAAGGGGACTGCGGTGGTCAAGTATTTAAGGTGGCTGACTAGCCCTCCTAGCAATCCTGGGTCCAGATCCTGGCAAAGTTCATGGCTTTTTGATTGGAAATGATACGTAAAAGGTTATCGTAAAGGGGTTTGTTTGACTTGGCCTTCTTGGCCCCCTACATCCAGTGGATGTAAAGCCCTGCTGTATTACAAGAATTAACTTGTTTTACTTCAATCATATAGAAAAAAACATAAGTGGTCCAAAATGCATGATAAATTTTTTTAAAGCATTGTAGAATCTCTATTTTTGGTTATTAAAAGATTAAAACCGACCATTAGTTAATAAAACAAAAAGTTTAATATGACTGGTCAAATATTTAGTTTCCATAATATTTATTTATTTATTTATTTATTTTTTTTTTTTTTTTTTTTTTTTTTTTTTTTTTTTTTTTTTTTTTTTTACGAGGGTTCGCAACAGCAGAGGTCATATAAACCCTCGGGGTGCCGGTGTTTTTGAAAAAAAGCCCATTTGTAAGTATGTCGGGTTCGAATGCAGGGCCGCTGGATTCGAACCCGGGACCTTTACCTTACAGTGATGAGCGCCGTGTCAAAGACTAAACCTTGCGGCCACCGACGCCCCTATTATATTTATTATTGCTATAATTAACTAATTAGTAAAATTTAATTACTTGGTAAGATAAAATAACATTTTTATGGTAGTATAAAATTCACATTATTCATCAATATATTATAATATATTTATTATATTATTAATCATATTATTCATAAAAATTTATATTATGTGTACTTGATTTTATGGCAGTATCTGGCTTAAACCGTTGTGGCCACTGATGCCCCTTAGTTTAAGTTGATTATTGTCTATTTTTTCTATATAATGTAAATATTATGTCGTATTTATTTGTAACTGTACTCCATCCTCTAAAAATAAATGAATGTGCAATTGTTTTCAAAAAAGTCACTATTTCTCAGCAACTCTCAGTGACGAATAGTTAATTAATTATCCCGTGGCAAATTGCAAACATTTGATTACACAGATTTGAAAATAAGAGGACAAGATTTCATATCATCGCTTTAAATTGTTTATTACCAGTGCTTTTATTGGTCTGAGAAAGTAATTGTATTTTCGTTATCAACCATTAATAAGTAACGATGATAAAAATGTAATTTGGGCTGGATATTTTTGTTCATTAATCATACTTCTTTGGTGTAATTAAACAAGAAATGTGAATAGTTGTTCAAGTTATCGGTAATTCATTAGTGCTAGTAATCTAGGAAATAAGTCGAAGTATTTTAATTATTCTCATAAATCAGTGCTTGAACACCTAGTCAGCCATTAGAGATGGGTTTTTGAAACGATTGTTCAAAATAAATTATGAAATGACAAAATAGTTCTCTTTATTAAACTCTTGGTAATCAAGAGGGTTTAGACTTTTTGTAATGCACCAGGAAACTCAGTAGATAACAAGAACTCACAAACAAATAAAATAAGACAGTATGATAATGAAATTTAATTACTGGAATAAGAGTTACATCCAACATTTTCCTAATTAGATAATTTAGTACTAATTCCTAGACAACTAGTTCTAATTTTTATTATTGTTTGTTGGAAAAAAATACAGGTCATATTTTTGTGTTAGAAATAATTAATAATGTTAAAGAGGGGTAAATTTATTCGGTGAATGTTATGTTCTATTTAATCCAAGAAATACTGAGGATTTGAACCTAAACTAAAGAGTGTGTTGTTTTAGTGACAGGTTGTTTAATCACTTTTAGAACTCATGAGGAGCAGTCCTCACAATTTCAACAAATTACTAAGCTAAAAGTTTTAAAAATAACTGTGATAGGTCAAAATGCTAACTAAGGTCATTTAATGACAACA